TTCTTTAATAGTGTAGGAGTGGATATTATTGGTAGATGAAACGTCTAATCTAAAAGGTAACAGGGTTGAAATTATCTTGGAAGGACCAAATGGAATCCTAATTGAGCAATCTTTTCATTTTGACTTCAAGGCAAGTAAAAAATTGATAAAGTATGAACCCTTATTAGGCAGGAATGAAGCTAGCCCAAGAAATGGATGTGATGTGACTAACGAAGATAAGTGATAGACAATTTGGTGACAAGACAAGTAATGGGGGGTTTTAGGCCAAGGATCCTCATAACAAACTAGAAAATATAAAAAACTTGCCCAACATGTTCGATGAATTTGAATTAAAGCATGTCCCACGAGATCAAAATGCTAGTGCCAACTTACTTTTAAAATTGGCTTACACCAAGAAGCTTGGTGTAACCTATTCTGGTCACTAAAATGATCTTGTCATTAGAGCACTCAATCATCATTAGTTGTGTGTTTGTTTCTAGAATCAAGACTTACCTCCCTTCGAGGCATCTCCCTCTTTTTAACCTAGCGATAGCTTTATGGCCTTAATTTTTCCTCCTATCTCCCGATACTGATTTTAACATTTTTCTATTATGCCCATAATCTCTGAGTTCCACGTATCTTGGTTATATTATTCTTATTAGACATTGATTTATATCTTGGGTGCATTAATATTTTGAAATAAATTATCAATAAACAATTTTTTTTGTAACAACCCGATAAACCCCACACTTACAACAACTCAACAACTAAGCAACAAAAAATATAAATATAATTTAACATAGACTTATCATGCAAAAAATCACTGGATATTCATGCAACAATATATATGTAAGGAAATAACAACTGAAAAACATAAAATTCCTTAGTGGAATTATAACTAAATCCTACATACACACTCACAAATATTAGGCTACAAAACATAAATGTCTTAGGTTGTTGGTCAAACAACAACTATACTCATATTGCCTCAAAATAGCACCGCCCAAATCACCACCATCTCCAGCATGTCACTACAACCTACTTACCTTCTAGTCTAATCTTGTCTTGCTCCCATAATAATATAATCATCGCAGTCTAGCAACATGGAAAAATAAGAGTAAACTTGTAAACAATGAAACATGTAATAAAGAAGTAATGCACGAGCTATATTAACAACTTTAGCAACACAACTCAAGATACAACCAAAGTCCAACTTAATAACTTTGATCAACATATCAACATCACTACTAAACAACATATTAACATCACTACTAAAAAACATATCAACTTTTCAACTTAAAATATCACTTATCAACACAACCTGCCAACAATGCAACAACATAAGAACACGAAAAATTAATAACACAACAATATTTTGCGTCTTCACACATTTCAACTATAAGATCTCTTACAACACAAATGAGCAATCTAAATGGCTTGATCCTACTGAACGAACAACAACATGATCTTTTTGGCTTGGTAGATCAACAACAAAGTTGGATATCAATTCACAATACAATATGATTTCTCAAATTTCACCACTTACACTATGAAAGTCTAGCACCCATTGTCAGGAATAGTATAGCTTAGGTGTGAGTCTGCCATGACATTGACATGCATTAACCAAGTCACATGTGAGAATAGTCCACTAACTATCCTAGCGATACCACGCACCTTTCCAATAATTGGTTAAGGATTTTACCCCTCAACTTTATACCTTACTCAATTTGGTTGCTTTTTAAATTAATATGGCTCGACCTAGCCCTATACAGTATCAACTAAGGATTTAGAGAAGACTTAACACTCCATTTCAAGAGACAACAATACTCAAGAATGGTCTTTCAATAATTGGACTCTCAAAGCACCACAACACATATCCACACAATAAAATATTTTTTTTTTAAAATAACACTTCTCCTCTAGTCCTAAGTTCATAACACATTTCAACATCATGTATCATGCATATTACAACATAACACTACACAACATGCCTCATGCATTCACAACACAACAACATAGATAAAACATAACTTATAAGCTATAAATCTCGAGGAGATAGTTGTTTCAAGTTATCTAGAGCACACTTTGAGCGAGCAAATTTTGTTCCAAGTACTCACACCTCACTCTAAGCGAGCTCAAATGGAGAGCACCCATGGGAAATGTGATTAGCTTATGTAAATGAGTAAGTTCTCGCCTTAAGCGATGAAAATTCACTTAAAGTGACCAACAAGCACTCCAAGCGAGTCAAGTCAAAGAAAACCTCTAAAATTATTGCATTAGCTTGCTTAAGCAAGTAAGTTAGCGAGCACACCTAGACAAAAAACACAACTCAAGAACAAAGTTCATCAACTACAATGATTCAACCATTTCAATCATCAACCTACACAAACTCAACATGTATTCTCCAAATTCAACATACGTACATGATAAAGATCCAACCAACCAAGGCAAAAATCCTTTGTGTGATATTGGAGGTCCCATGACAAGATCCAAGATGAAGATGATGAAGCAAGCTTTACAAAGACTAATTATGAAGATTAAGGCAAGTTCAAATTCAAAGAGGCTATACCAAAATGGATCGCTTTCCTACAAGTTGATGAAAATTTAGGCCCAAATTAAAGATAAACATGACAAACCCAAACTCATATATCAAGAAGAAGCATTAATGGGATAAATAATTACTTAAGTCCATTTTCTTATTTTTATTGTAATTTTCATGTTTTATTTTAATTAAATAAGTTTATATGGCTTTTCATATTGTCTAGGTTAGTTTTGAGTGATTTTAGGCTTCTTGGTGAAAAATAAATGTTAGTGGGGATTAGTGAGATTTTATTTCCTAGTGGAACTTAGTGGAAAGTTAATACATGTAAGTGAGATGTTGTTTATCTTAGTTTATATACAGAAGCATCTTGTAAGCATCCAAATCATATTTGAATATTAATCATATTTTGAATTTCTCATTATGAAGACTTTTTCCTTTGTTTTTGGACAAAAATTTTATAGTGTTGGTTCTACCGATAGGTCCCGATTAGGGTCACGATATTTTTTTATATATAACTTTGGTTCTACCAGCGGGTTATGATTAGGATCAAGTTCTCTTTATTTTCTTTAGTTGTTTTCAAGACAATCCTACATCATAAAAAAATCATATTAGTACATGTTAAACAACTCAAATTCATTCAAAAGAATAACATGTAATCAACAAGAAGGTCTAAAATCACCCATTCTCCTTCGAAGAACCAAAGCAACCAAAAACTTACACCATAATGTTTTCCACTTTTCAATCCAACAACAACGCCACTAATTAGCGAATCAACACAATAATCAAGACATGCAATACCATAAAGAATAATCTAATAGCTTCTCTTACCTCAAATCTAAAAAAAAAAAGAGTAAAAAAAGGGAAAATGACGAAGAATGCAACTCTTAAACTCTCATAGCATGACAACTATAAGCCTCTGATTCTCAACTCCCAAGCCTCGAATCCCAACTCAGGTACTACAATCTAAGCTCTAGGGAAGAATCAAAGCATTCTTATGAAGCTAGAAGGAAGAAAGATTTCCTCCAGAGTCTATATTTTTAAAACCTCTCTTTTGATTTCTTAAGATATTAACATATGAGTTTAAGTTTTAAGAAAACTTTATATACTTTCTCCTAAACTTGGTGAACTTTGACCTTAACATAAAACAATCTTTGAACAACTAAACTTATAAGAATTTCTTAATTTTTAGAGTTTTAAAACATTAAAACAACACATTAACATAAGTCATTTAAATAATATAATTAAATAAATAACAATTTACAATAATTTTTCTATAATATAAATTATTTATCATAAATTTAAATTATAATTTATATGTTTAAACATATCTATTTATATAAAAATTAAATATACTGTATATATTTTAATATAGTATTTATTTATATATCATTTATTATAAATTTTAATTATATAATAAATATATTTGTATATTGAACAAACTAAAATACAAATTAAATAATTTCTTATTCATAAAAGTTATAATAAAATAATAAAGGTTAAATTCTTTTTACATAATTTCAGAATTTAAGATATTTTAAAGAATCAAAAGACTAATGTGAACATGTTATTAACAAAATTCGTCAAGGTTCAACGAGTGAATTGCGGACGTTGCTATTGTTTGGGCTTCCAATGAATTGAATTTTAAGGTCTTGACTCAGTTGTGCATGTACCTCGTATCACGTGCCTATTGCTGAATAAGTGAATACTGGTTGGATATGATTGGGCCTGAGCCTGTTTTGCTTGCTATGTGCATTTCGCTTCCCTTTCACCCAAAAATACCTCTCTATTTATTTAGATATAAAATAAGGATCAATGTATTAAACGAAAAAAAAAAGAGTACATTTAAATTTAAATTTAAATATAATAATATTTTGAATTAAATATGTTTTAATTCTGGTAAATAAAAAAAAAATATTTTATTTTCTGTATTTTTAATTTTTCATTTATTTAAAATTTAAATTACTAACTTTAATTTTTATAATTATACGATATTTTTAGTTACTTATTTTTTTTTATTAAAAGATTAAGTGAATATTTTGTATCTTATCATGTCAACACGTTACATTTTTAAATTTATTTAAAAATTATTAAACAAATTTTATTTACTTTTAAAATGATTATTACCAACTAAAAATGATAAATTTAAATTTCAGAGGATAAAAATTAAAGAAAAATATTTTATAAAAATTAAAATTTGTTCATTTTTTATAATGACCAAAATTATTGTTTAGAAATATTATAAATATAAAAATAAATTTTTTTTATAGAAACAAAAACAAAATTCAATTATTTTACAGGAATTAAAATCATATTTAAGTCTAATTTTACTTTAATTTCTTTATCATTTAAGTACATTAATCTTAAAAATAAAAGATAGGAGAATGAGACAGTAATATTATTTCATATAATAAGTAATTCTATTAATATCCAGTCACATTCTTTAATAAAGATTAATAATATAATAAAGTTGCTAAATATCTTAAATCAACAAATTATTACGTAGTAATTTTATGGAAACCACGAAAGAGATCATACAAAGATGCTAGTTTGTGCAATTTCTTAACTCTTAAGTGACTTGAGTTTGGCATAAAATCACAAACCATACATAGAATGCTCCTTGGCAAGTCTTAAATATATTGTTTATTTGATGGAGAGGAGCAAGGTAGAGCATAGAGAGCTCAACTAATGTAGTACATGGGATCAGGCAACTTAAATGTTCTATTGCCAGTGTTGGTTCCCAGAAGATCGCTCCATTGGTCTCCAATGTTTCCAATGATGTTGTAACCCTCTTCCTCCAGCTTCTTTCTCTCAGCTGATTTGTATGTAACTGCTGTCGTACCAGAATATAAAGTTGTATTCCTACAACCAAAACCCAATTGTTTTTAGTCTATCTTGTAAATTCTGCTGCATAAAAACAATATGTCAACAACATCACACAAAAATTCTCATTAACATATTTGTTTCTTTTCACGATTCATTGCTTTCCATGGTCCATAGTATCACCTTTAATATCCACCAAAATTTGTCTTATCTCCCAGTCCCTTTCTGCAATTTTTTCCCAATCACTATCCCACTATCTAGCCTATATGTGAGAAATTATTGAGTAGTACTTATATCATATTTGTTTATAATTAATCTATATAAAATATGTAATTAAGTATTATTAAATTTTTTAAAGGCTTAAATATATTTTTAGTCCTTACAAAATTAACAAGTTTTAATTTTAGTTTTTATAAAAAAATTTCTTTGTTTTTCATCCTTATAAAATTAAAATTATTATTTCTATATAATCATTTTTAATTATTTTTTATTTTTTTAAAAGTTAAATAATCATTTTAAAATTTATCTACAATCATCACTAATATCATATCAATATTTAATATTTCAAAAATAATTTATAAATTCTTAAAATAAATTATTTATCTACCTTAAAATGATTATTAAAAACTAAAAATAGTTAATTTAGATTTTAAAACTAAAGAAAAATATAAGGATCAAAATTAAAATTTAATCATTTTATAAGAACAAAAAAAATGTTTATAAATTTTAGAAAGATAAAAAATAAAGAAAAAATTTTAAAAGGGCCAAAATCAAAATCATTAAACCTTTTTTTAAATTAAAAAATTTAATTGCATAAATAAATAATATTTATTATTATATTAAATTTGTACGTATTTATTTATTTATTAAATATTAAGTACATTGATTAATAATAAAAGTAAACTCTATAAATTTATTCAAAGATAAATACAAGTCAAATTTAGAGATTTTATTATAAAATATATTTTTAAATAAATTATCATTATGAATAGGGATGGCAATGAGGCCTCATAGGGGCGGGTAATAGTAAACCCGCCCCCATCCTGCTAGATGAAAATTAGCCCCGTACCCATTCCATATCCGCGCAGTTATTCATTAAATGAGTATCCATGAATTTCTTGAATACCCACGGATATCCGTGGATATCCATGGATATTTATAAATTTTGTAAGAAATTAAAAAAAATATTATAAATAATTTTAAGTTTATATTTAATGTCATTGAAATATTAAAAAAAAATTAATATTAATTTTGAACTTGTATTTAACGTTAATTTTGTTGAAATAATAATAAAAATGCAAGATAATCAATAATTTAAAATACATCAATCTCACAAGTAAGTTAAAGTCTCATCACAAAGCTACAATAATTCAATCTCATAATTTCAAACGAAAGTAGACAACTTAAAGTACATCAAAATTTATTGGTTCAATCAAAGCTAGAAAATTAATCAAATTATATCCAACATAATTCTATAACATGCTTAACACATGTTGGTAACTTCATCAACCTCACTTTTGTAAGAAAATAAGAAGAGAGAGTGTAATTTTAGGGTTATGTGGTACAAGGATAATTAGGATATCTAAGAAATATTATTAAACGGGTACCGCGACTATGGATATCATCATATCCGCCCCCGCCCCATTTATAAATGGGTAAAAATTATCCGTTCTTATTATCTGCAGGTACCCAATTAATCTATCCATTTATTATCCGTAGCGAATTTTATCCGCAGATACTCGTGAATACGGATATTTTTCCCATCTCTAATTATGAATGTGATATTAGTTCTTAAAAATATTTTTATATTAGATGATAGTTAAGACTTTTATGAAAATAATGTGACCTTTAGAAGAACTTATACTAACTAAACAAGTTAGACTTCAGTTATGTATTTTCAATCAAGATCAGATTAAGACTAACAAAGTCTAATTTGATTCGACTGATTTTCACTGATAATGAAAGATGATATTTTTAAGTGGAGTTAAATAATAAGTGAATTCCTTTACAAATTATTTTATAACAATAAATTAAAAAAAAAACAGTTTTATTTGAAAAAAGAGAGAGAGAGAAAAAAGAAACTCACTTGACAATTTTGTTTTTTTAAAAAAATCATTAAAAAGAGCAATTATTTGTACAGAAAAAGTGTGGAAAGTATGGTATGAAATTATGTGGTGTGAGACTCACTTGACAATTAACTTTAACCAGGTGTGGTATCCAGCATGCTTTAAGTTGGCAGTTGTTACAGTCTCTTGATTGAGTGGTCTTCCCGTTAAGAAAACAATCTTCACACCAAGACCCACCAATTTGTTGTACAGTTTTAGACTCTCAGGCAGTGCTGGTGCCTCCCCAAGGTTCACCCATTCATTAAACGCCGTCTCATTATATGGTTCCACCCTATGTCACAAAATATATATCCATATATAAATAGTTGACAATAAACCATAAATAGCAAAAACAAAAACTATAACATATACCCAAAACCATGATCAGCATAATATTCGAGGTTAGACAAGGTAGTCTCATCTATGTCGAAGACCCATATGTCTTTGGCAGTGATATTAAGGGTTTTAGCATACAAATAAGCCTCACGACACACTGTTTTGGAGTCAGATCTATATTGGTCCCCTAGAAGGTAGTTCCCTATATACCCCACGCACTCCTCAGGAATGCTTTTCCAATCAATGACGTTATGTGCTTCCACACCAAGTCTCCAACTTTTGCATGATACCTCCGGAATGTAGTGCCCCCCTAACCCAGTTTTCATCCTCAGAGGGAAAACCTGGAAGTTTGCACCATGCTCTGAGCCATGGCATTGGTATGCTCCCACAATTATAGCAACCAACAAAACAACCACCTTCATAGCTACCACCACAAACTTCTGCAACTTCCTCATACCTAGCTTTTCTTCTTTAAATAGACTACTTGTGAGGTCCACATGATAATTTTTATTTTTATTTTTTCAAAAAAGTTGTCTGTCACATTTTGAAATCATATTACTTTTAATTTTAATTATAAACATAAATTATCTTTTTCTCGATTATAAACAATAATAATTATTTTTTAAAATTAAAAAGTTAAATTCTTTTTATACTTTTTATTTATATTGTTAACTTTACTTTTTATATATTCACTTATAATTAACATTAAATATGGCAATTATTTAGAATAAAATTTAAATTTGTGATATAATTAATTAAAAATAATCATATTAATTATATTTCTTAATTTTACTGATTTTTTTATATTACTCATAATTACAAGAGAATTTATTTATCCTGTTTGTCTAATAAAGCACGTGTTTAAATTTTGTTTTACATCCACGTCATTACCTATTGTGTGAATAAAAAAGAAACATCATTACCTATTGCGTGAATAAAGAGTAATGATAAACATTTTGGATAAAAATTTCTGACTGGCTCAGAAGCATTCAATTATTCACCTCTTAAAATTTTTGAAAAAAATAATTCTTTAATTTTATTATTTTAAAGTTTTAATTTTAAACATTTGAATTGAATGATGTTTGAGTAAAAAGATTTGGGAGGATAAGATGAATAAAAGAAAAGCATTATTACCTATTGTACAAAGCTACAATGAAAACGACAAGACATTGAATACGGAATCTTTTTTCAACGTGTGGCTGTAGAAAGTTTGTTCGTTGATAAAGGATGTGTGATTTGGAGATATTTTGTTTACTTGGCAATGTAGCCACTAAACAGAACTGTCATCTAATTCGGTGACCCATGCCGGGATTCCTCTGCCACGACCTAAGAAAGAAAAATGATAGATCTTTCAAAAGCAAATTTTAAAAATATGGGGTTGGGAACATGAGCCCAGATGCAAAGTGGATTCTATTTGGGCTTAGCTCAAAGAAAAAGATTGGGGTTGGGAACATGAGCCCAGATGCAAAGTGGATTCTATTTGGGCTTTCCAATTAGATCGGGCTTTTCTTTGGATGTAGGAACCAGAATTTATCAATCACTCTCAAAAGTAACAAACCCTAATCTCTTACAAGTTGGCATCTAAGTTGCTAACTTAAACTATCAATCTCTTGCATAGTTTAACCAAGAAACCAGCTTTAAAAACAAGAGCTTAAGAAAGACCAATGGCATTTACTCTATCTCTAGCAATAAGCACCATTAGCTGCTCTATTTCAAGTCAAAGGTTTAAAATCATTTCTCAATCTCTTAAAAACCTTAAGTTCAAGTTAAGGGTGATCAAGCCATAAAAAGCATTATGCACAGAAAAAGAGCAATAAAACTGAATAACAACTTAGATTGATAGCTTAGAGTTTACATATGAGAATGGGTTTAGTTACATCAAACCCCAACAAGGGTGAGTTTAGCTACACATAGACATGTAGAACTCTACAAATGATGAAGAAAGGAAGAAGCTTGATCTTGAAGGTTCTAGAGCTCTCCAGCCGCCAAACACACTCCAAGAATGATCCTCCTTGCTTCTTTTTCTCAAAAATCCCACTTTTAGGTCATAAAAGCTTTTGTCTTATGTGAATAATGACATGTCAGCACAATCCACACAAAGCGTGAGAAGCCACGCTAAGCTTGAGGATAGGTCTGGAGTAAAATGAGGTTCTGGGACTCTCACGCTCAGCGTGAGGATTGAATTTTGTTCCAGGGACTCTCTGCCAAGCTGAGGCTAAGCCTGGATCTGGGGCTTAGCCTGGGGACTTAATCAAAAATTCCTTCAACTTCAAATTCACCATTTTGTGCTTGACTTCCTTCCTTCTTTCCTAGCTTTCTCCTAAACTACAAACAACAACCAAATACTTATAAGTTACCTAAAAACATGATTCAAAGACAAAATGTGATCACCTAATAATTTAGATATGTTTTGAGTTAAAAACAAGGTCTAAAGCAAGGAAAATTTATGTAAGTGCTTCAAACTAGACCATAAACTTAATGAAATCATAACACTTATCAATGATGCATAAAGGAACTATTCTAGTATAGATTTTAATCCTAGGTGATTTCTGATGAAGGTGAATCGTTCCTCAACTAAAGCCTTTGTAAAGATACCAGTCCATTGATGATTAATATCAATAAATTTTATGTCAAAAATACCTTTTTGAACATATCATGAATTAAGTGATAAGTGATATTGTATTTCAATATACGTAGCCTTAGAATGTTGAATCAGATTTTTGGACAAGTTTATAGTAATGGTGTTATCACAAAATATAGGTATATTAGATTCAAGATTCGAGTAGTCTTCTAGTTGATACTTGACCCATAGTAATTGTGAGCAACACCCATTAGTTGAGATGTATTCTGCCTCTATTATTGAAAGGGCTATGGAGTTCTGCTTCTTGCTTGCCCAAGAAATAAAATAGTTTCCTAAGAAGTGACACCCTTCACTGGTGCTCATTTTTTCAACTCTATCTCCGCCATAATTTGCATCACAGAATCGTGCTAACTTGAAATTGTTGTGTTTCTCATAAAACAAACGAAGGTTAGTAGAACCTGCTAGATATCTAAAAACTCTTTTTACAACCTTTAGATGAGACTCTTTAGGATCTGATTGAAATCTAGCACAGAGACAAACACTAAACATGATATCCCCTTTCTCACAACTTTCTTGGTTAATTTGGGCAAAATAGAAGAAGGCATAAAATCTATATTCTTTTCTTCTGATTATCTTTGTTCAACCAAACTAAGGACTTTCACACCCACCACTTTTTTTTTTTTTTTCCTAATGAAACACTCATTCATACTAAAATAAATGACTCGTATTAATCTCTTAATAGAGAGAACTGTGTCTAGGGAAGGTCCGTGAAATGGCAGAGATTCCTCTGCTGCATGCATGGCACATGCATGGGAGGGGCATTTTCGGGCTTTCACAAATTCTACGTGTCTTTCAGCTCCTTTATTCGCTTTTGTGTGAGGAGAGCAATAGTGCTTCTCCTCCCTTTTCTTCGTCTTTCCTTCGTTTCAAATCACGGGAAACAAACACATATTTTCCTCGCCTTTCGTTGCTCGTAAACATTACATCCCCGGAAACAAACACTACCTTAAACAGCCCCATGACTTTTTGGCCATTTTAAATTTTAAAAAAATTATAAAAAAAATATTTAAAAATTATTTACCTAAATGAATATTTTTTTTGCCGTGTTGGCATCAGTGCAATGAAAACGCTATTAACCTCAAGTGTCGTGAGTTGAAAACAAAAAATAACTTGAAATGCATAGGTTAAGGGTGTTTTTCATGAGCACCAGAAATAACCAAAAAGACATTGGGGAGGGAGGTGTCGTCCGTCCACATAAAAAATAAAACAATGGATATCATTAACATAAAACAATATGGCTCCAGTAGTATATAAAATAGTAATATGATGTATTTTTGTTAGATTTTACTAGAAACCTATCTCTTTCGAGCCAGAACATACTTCCAATTAATATTATATTGTAAGCGACGAACATACAAGCTTGTGAAGCCTTTGTGGACCATCAATTGATAGGGAATACGATTTTCTCCCATTGTTAATAATCAATATATATTATTTTTCTTTTAAATCTGCAATAATTTAAAATTAATGTTTTTATGTCATTATAATTTTTTTATATTAATGTGTTATTTAATTATATAATTACATAAATAATAAAATTTAATTTTTATTTTATAACATCTTGCATATGAAAATAAGTTGGAGGAAAATTTTGTAATTACAATTTTTTATTGGAGAAAATTATTAAAGAAAACAAATATTTATTTTTTTAATTATTTTTTACGAACAATTTATTTTATAATACTGTATAAAACTAATAATGATTAGTAATTTATTTTACAATATTTATTTTGATATATTTTGCTTAATTATTTTGAGTAGTAGATTATTTTATAATATTGTGAAAATCTAGTAATAATTAGTAATTATTAAGATATTTTTATCCAAATTTTTTCCTTTTAGTTTGATATATTTGTTTTGATATTGTAATGTTGTAAGTTGTGGAGTGTTATGATTCTTTTAATTATTTCGTATTGTTAAGTTGAATTATTGTTCAACATTGAGAGACTTTGGGACCTACGCAACCTTTAGGAGTTTTAACGATGTTGAGTTTCTCTATGCATAAGGCCAATTTTACCTCAAAAGGAAGAGTATATAAGGTTTATGTTTAGAATTGAGTCTCATAAATTCAAGTTCATATAAATTCTAGAGAAAGGATTTTAGAGAGAGGCACTCTGATTTGTGAGCTTCCTTCAATTTTGAATTTTCTTCTCTTGCTTTCTTAATCCTAACTAGTGTTGTGTTGTTGTTGAATTCAGGGTAGTAGTTGTTGAAATCAGTTGAGTGAATTATAGAGTTTCGAGTTTTCTTCTTCTACCTCTGTTTCGTGCTACTCCCACGTAAGGAAAGTTGGATTTATGATTTCTTAGTTCTATGTTGGATTTGTTAGATAATTATGGTGCTGAATGTTATTTGGATTTCAAAATTCTATGACTGAGTCAATTAAAACAAAGAAGATTTATGTGAAGGTTGAGGTTTGAAGTTCATAGCAAGAATGTGATTATCTTGAATGATTATGGTTGCATGTCGATTTTTAGTGCATAGGTTGGATCTTTGCTGGAATTCAAGTTTTGAGTCAAAATTAGATTTTGCATATGCAGAATTCTAATATTGTGTCAGCATTATTCCAACTTAAGGCTTTCTATTTCGATCATGCTAGATGCAGAATCAGTGGCATCAAGCGTGACGAGAAAGACTTATCTCAGGTTGGCATGACACTGAGTGTTGTTCAAATAGCATTGAGCATGGAAGCATTGGGAAGTCTCTGAATTGGTGACATTGAACCCAAGGTTAAGTGGCGTCCAACATGGCCAAGCTAGAGCTCTTTGTCTGGATGATGTTGGGCGCTAGTATTGTGACATCGAGCGTGATTCAGGCATAAACTCTCTACCTGAAACGAGGCGGAGTGTGGAATGAGGTCTTAGGGGCCTCTGTCTTATCCACGTTGGGCACAAGTTGTGTAGTTTCGAGCATGGGCAAGGCAAATAGTTCCCTACCTCAATGGTGTCGGGCATAGAGTGTGTTGTGTTAGGCACTGTTTGCAAAATGATAATTGATAGTGCATTTTGGTGAGTAGTTTTGTATGAATTTATTTGGCCTTTTTGACCTTTGTATGTATCTTATATTCATGTTTTGGCTTAGATTTATGATAGTGATATTATTTGATAATTGTTGTAATTTTTACTCAATTTTTGGATTTTTACCCATTTGAACACTCTGCCTTGTACAAACCATATCTAAAGCTCCCAAACTTGGATTGGGACTCTTAGGAAGCTTAGAGAGGATGCTACAACTTCTTTGTTGAAGTCCAGAGCCAATTTAGATCAGAAAAGGTATAAAAATACAGTGTAAAGTTGTAGTCCAATGTAGTTTTATTTTGTTATTTCTAGTTTAAACTTTAATGACTTATAACTAGTGTATTAGTGACTTAATTAATGGGCTATGCTTTGTTTAATCAGAATTAGGCCCATTTAGCTGTCTATATATAAGTGTAATTACATTGGAGTAAAAAAAATTACCTCATCTTTTTCAAATAAAAAATAAAAAAATTTACCTCATTTTTTTTCAAATTCAATTTTTTTTGCGTTACAAGTTTCTCTCATTTTCTCTCAACTCTCTTCTGTCTCACGAGTTCTCTCTTTTCTCTCTTCTTTGGTCAAAACTCTTCATCTTATCTTCATACAAATTTGTGAGTTGATAACAATGAAGATGTGCAGCTAAGTTCGATTAGTCAATTAAAGTTTCCAATTATGCGGTAAATTCCTCTAAAATATAAAATTTCGTCTTTTCTTCTTTCTATTCTTCAATTAATTTCGAATTCAATTGATGACTATGGACTGTGTTTTTTTATTAATTGAAGAACAAAATTAATTCAAATTAATTTGAGAGCACCGAATTGGATTCAATTCGGATTGAAACAATATAAAGCAGATTTGTCTTCGTAGGATTTTTATATAACATGATTGCATTCTTCATTCCTTAATTCAAATTGAATATTAAACATAGAATTTGGATTGTTTCTTAATATTATGGTAGTTAGAAACTTGAATCGGTGTTTTGTCCAATTAGATTGTCAAATTTGTGATTTTGTACAATTAAATCACAGTTTTACAATACATTTTAATTACTGCACATAAATTATTTGTGAAAAATTCCCTTGTTAACTCTTGATAAAATTCAAGTTCATGTGAATTATGTCTTCTAAAAATTTGACCTAGGGTTTCTCTATATTGCAAAATTTAGGGAAAACTATTATTATTTGACCGCTTTCAATGGTGTGTTAAGTCTTGTGTCATTGTCAAGGACACAAGTCATTGTGTTATGATTTTATCATGTTTATTAATTGTTTGATTAATTGTTTCAACATTTACTAACCTGTATGTGGAGCATTAATGATTTAATTTTTTTTTTTCTCGTTTTTATATTTGTCTCTGTTTTCTTTTCATCTCTATTTTGGTCTCTAACATTGTAGGTTGACTGCCAAAATAGAGAATGAAAACATGGGAAATAGGGGACTAGTAGAAATCATAGGAGTAATAGAAATCAAAGTTTTCTCTATTTTTCGTCTGTAAATCTTATCCGATTGAAGTAAAATTTAGACTTCAAAGATAAAATGTGATTCTAAGAAAATTTACCCCCTTTGATGATAAAGTGACCTCAAAATTGTCAAACTCCTTCATCTTTTAGGAGTTTCAAAAACTTTTATGATAGGAGTATTTTGGTCATTTGACTCAAGTAGTTCCAATTGGGTTAAAATTTTGTTAAAAAGTGTAAAAAATTCATGCATTAATAATAAAATAACGATAATAAATATAAATTCATTCAAAAAAAAAATAATTTATTATCATAATTTTCATTATAATACATAAATATTATAAATTATTTTAAAATAACAAAATAGCGATAATAAATATAAAACATAGTCATGAATTCTGTTATTATTCATTACATTTATGTTTTAAGGTAACATAACAATTTATCATTATGATATATATTTACAGTAATTGTTATAAAATCGCAATAATAAAAACAATTACCATAATTATAAAACTAAATATACATAATAGTTTATAATTAGAAGATAATTTAATTTAGAACCATTACCTTAACCATATATACTTGCATTTTACTCTAGAAAAGAGATTGGATGATGAAGCTTTGCAGTAGTAAGAGCACTGGAACGGTGTGGGCCCGTGGGAAGAGTCGAGAGACGAATGAGGTGTGGGCCTGTTGGACCACCTTGAGTGAAACTGATTTTTGAGTCAGGATCGTTGATATGTTCTAAAAAGTATTTTTGAAAATATCTTTCGAAAAGTTCTTTTTTAAATACAAAAATTAATGTTATAAAAATTGGGTGCAAGCGAAGGAAATGATGTCTGAAAATTTTAAAATTATATGTTTTGGGAGAAAAATTATAATTATAAAAATTTTGTCCATTTTAAAATCTTAAAAAATGGAGGAAAAGAGTGAAAAAAGTGCATGTGAAAAAAAGTGATTGTCTCAAAAAAAGAAAATTTGAATGGTAAGGGTAAAGAGAGAAAAAAGGGAGTGCATGTGAAAGGTGGGGTGAGTGCTTGATAAAAAAAAAATAATAATAACTTTGAAAGTCAAAAATTAAAATATAAAAAATATTAAGGGTATGTATTTTGGAAACAAAAAATGTATAAAGGAGGTGTATTATTAGTATAAGAAAATGTATATATCACAAGTCATGTAAAACTCTTAAGTTGTGTCTAAATAAGGATTTTAGAAATTCAAAAGAAAAAAACTTTGATTTCAACTTTGTTTGAATAAATCAATTTAAATATCTAAAGTTTTTAATTGTTACTTTGGATAAAAAAATTTAGTTTCCAACATAAGCAAAATAGGTTTTAATATATATATATATATATATATATATATA